TGACATCAACGATCATTCTTCTACTTCCACTAACGACATTGACTATAATTCAGATACCAAAAGTTCAACAATTTTCATCAAGGATGTCGAAAAAAATGCTGAAAAGTCACCAACTTCCACCAATGACATCAACGATCATTCTTCTACTTCCACTAATGACATTGACTATCATTCAGATACCAAAAGTTCAACAAATTCCATCAAGGATGTCGAAACAAATGCTGAAAAGTCACCAACTTCCACCAATGACATTTATTATCATTCGGATGCCGAAAGTTCAACAACCTTAACCAATGATGTCGACTATACTTCAAATATTGAAATATTGCCAACTCTTACCAATTATGTAAACTCCATTTCAAATATTGAGAAATCATCATCAACCATCATCAATCACGTCGAATCTGCTGCTTCAAATGTTGGAAAATCATCAACTTTTACTAATTATATCGGATCTACTTCGAATATTGAAATACTTACCAATGATGCAAATTCTGATTCATATATGGAGATCATTGATTTGAATGAATTTCTTCAACTTCATCATAGTCTCGATTTTCCTAAAGCATTTAAATTAATTAATGATTATGCCAAACAAGATCCATCATCACCTAAGATAAAATTTTGGATGGGATATTATCATTATAAAGGATATCATGTCAAACCAAATAAGAGAGATGCAATAAAATGTTACAAATATTTTGAAGCAGCCGCAAAATTAAATGATCCCGATGCTCAATACTATTGTTCTCATATGATCATTAATAATTTAATAGCAGATAGCAAAGAGAATAATAGATTTGAAATTGCTTTAGAATATTTGAAAAAAGCAGCAGAACAAAATCATCCAGCTAGTTTGGAACGGTTAGGTAAAATAATGATAAATGGTAAATTTGGTTGTAAAAAAGATATTAAAGCTGGTCAAACTTTGGTCAACCGGTCTAAAAAAGTAGATAACAGATTCAATAAGCCTGACAGGAAAGTAATTACTAAAGATGGCACGAGAGCAAGGAAAGAACGAAGTTATTCAAATGCATCTACAATTTCTTTGAAAAGGAACGTTTATCAAAGGAAAAGCAGAACATCATCAAATGCTAGTTCATCTTCTTCCATAAGATCTATGGTAGTTTCTAAATCATTTTCTAGCAAAAAATCTAACACAAAGAAAACGGATCAATTCAGACATAGTGCATATGCATAAAACAAAAAACAAAAAATTGCATTGGGACTTTTTAATCAAAGAACACTTTTCCATATAATTTTTTTTTTATTCTTTTGTATATTAGTAATTTGATAAATAAAAATTTTTAAATAAATAAATTTTCAATAATAGCCGCCCCACCTCCGGGTCTAGTAGCAAAAATGACATTTTCTAAATCATCATGTGATAATTGTGAAAATCTAACATTATAATATTTTTCACTAACAAAGTTAATAAATTTGTCAATCTCATTCTCGCGAATTAAAGAAACGGTACATCCACCCCATCCAGCACCGGTCAGCCTGCTACCGACTGCACCACCATCCAAACAAATTTTTACCAAATCATCCAGTTCATCACAAGAACATTCGAACAATTCTTTACAACTTTTGTGACTTTCATTCATCAAATTACCTAATCCTTCGAAAATAGATTCTCTCGCCTCACCTTTCGAGCATAACTCATAAAATTTTAATACTCTTGATGCCTCCTCAAATACATGTTTAGACCTTTTATATAATTGAAATTTTTTTGCTCTGACGGGGAACCTATTCAGAAATTTTTCCTTAATTTCATCCTGATTCAAATTCAAAAGTGAACTTAATTCATCTAGAGTGAACCCATCATGATTGTTTTCATAAATCTTTTCAACGTAATCCGATAATTTAATTAAATTCTCTACAATAACTTCAGTACTGTTAGAATATAAATCGCTAACTTGCTTCAAATTTTCACAAGGTTTGTTAAATAGACATTGACCTAAATGATGGGCGGCTAATTTTGTTTCCACGACCCTTAAATTATAATTTATTGGTGCAGTAACTATCTTATCAGAGTTAATAAGAGAATTGGCTATAACGAAAGCAATTGGAGGATTTATTGATGGTAATTTTGTCGGTATCGCGCAAAGTGATGGTAAAAATTGAATGTATAAAACATGTTCTTTTAATGAAAACATTGAAGCGGTTTGATCCATACCCCCCGCATTCATTCCTATAAATCTTTCAGCTTCAATTGAAATTTCTACAATTTCCTTTTTTGTTAATATTACGTCGTTAGAAAAACAGGTCGCGATACAAACTGAACAAATAAAGGCCGCAGAGCTAGATAATCCTGATCCCGGGGGAACGTTCCCATCAACTAATAAATACATCCCTTTAGGCTTGTCTAGTGATAAATGTTGAACGATTCCTTTATATGCGCTTTTGGAATAGTTTCCCCATTCAGAAATCCCTTCTTTAACTTCAATTTCTACGATCTTCTCTTTCCCCTCGTATTCCCAATTCCTTGGTGGATACTTTTCATTTAATACATTAGCTATTCTAACCTTCGTATCATTTTCTTCTCCTTCATGAATAATATCGACAGCAATCAATACATCTCTACTAATCGCCATAGGCAATACTCCAAATCCTGCATAATCGATATGCTCTCCTATTAAATTCACTCTACCTGGTGAACGTGCAACAAATTTCGGTTTACGATTATATAATTTTTCAAATGAGTCAATTAATTTTTTATATCTTGTTATTTGCGAGGAAAGACTTAATTCTGGATAAATATCAGAAATTGAAGAAAATTTTAGCCGAGGTACGAATTCTTTATCCATTATTTATCAAAAAGAAAAAAAAAAAGGGGGGGGGGGGGAGATATAAATTATATAAATTATCTTTTTTTATTAGGAATGAAAATCGTTGTGAAGTAATACAGTGTAACAGCAATGGAAAATAAAAAGACCGAATATTAACTTCCACTTTATAAAAATGTCAACCATTTTTTTTTTGTAATGCGCCTGAACCGAACGTTAGGTAAAGTTTGCAGAAATTTTTATACCCACGTTTTATCAAGCATTATGTTGTTACACATGATGTTGGCAGATTATCATATAAATATTATTTTTTTTTCCAAGATCATTAAACGACATTACTCTTTTTTTAACCTTTTCACGAATAACTTTGTCTTCTAAATGACACCAAGAGATTTTTTTAATCGTACGAAAACTAAACAAAGATTGACTTCTTATATCTTTGGAACTATTCGATACATATTTAAATATAGCACAAGTCATTCATGTAATGGTATTTTTTTCTCAAAAATATATCATCATTATACGTTTTTTCCAAAGGGATTTATACCAATCAATTTATTAATACTCAGAATGTATCAACGAAATCATTTATTTTACTTGTCAAGAATAAAAAAATGTGAAGGCGTCACATCAGATTTAATACCTGAGCATCATTTTGTATACGACAAAAAGAGACTTTCACCGATAATAACAAGACGATTCTCGACGACGCAAAATGAAAGGGGGTCGTCATCATCATCATCATCAGAAGCAAAACCCACCAAATCACATTTTGAATTAAATTTTATGATAGATGAATTGTCATCAAAAAAAACGGTCATACAACGATTTTTTAAAATGAGAAAACATTTAAATTTCAAGGAGGAATTATCTAGTAAAAAAGGGGTTGTGAGAAGGTTTTCCAAAGTTAGAAAAAGGATTGCAGATAAAAGAGATGAACGTGCACGAGGGTCATCAGATTCACATACGGGAGTGAAAGCGAAATATTTCATTCGTTATCGATTTCCGTATGGTCATTTGCCTCAAAATGTGACGCAGGCACAAATAAAAATGATAAAAGAGCGAAGAAAACAATGGGAAAAAAGCATGAGTGACGTATATATAAGAACCATCAAAAGAATTTTGGTATCTATTAAAAGACATGATGCCGAAAGGATTTATACGATTATTGAAAACGTTTTATATCAACCAGACTTATTCAGGTGTCTCTCTATTTTAGAGATACGGAAGCTTGCAGAATTTTTCTCCAAAAAACATCCATCATATGCCATTGCTATCCTGGAAGCGGCAAGAGATTATGAGTTGGGATTGAGTCATCAGGATTATAGCATGATGCTCAAATTATATAGAATGTTAGAAGATCATCATATTGGTGCCATGTATACCCTCGATATCTTAAAAGCTCAAGGGTTTAATCCAAGTTTGGAAGATTATCTTAACCTTTTAAACGTTTTAATCATGAAGGGTGTCAGTTTGCAACAAGTGCTGAATTATATCGAAGAGATGACAGCAAAAAATTTTCAAATGGACTATTATGTCACTTCACTTCTAATCGATAGACTGATGGAACAAAATAATATAGCAGTAGCTGGCGATTTATTTATGAGCATGATAACGAAAAGGCAAACAACTCATGGGTTGATTCTTCCAGAAATATTTATGCGACAACAGGAAGGTGAAGAATCTTCAAGAGATTTGTCTTTATACGTTACGATTTACAGTGTACTAATTCAAACATTTATTAGTCATGATCATTATGATAAGGCTATGGAATTTTATTGGAAACTTTTGGATAAACAGCCATCACCTGATGATCAAATTGTAGAGATGATGATTTCCGCTTGCTTAGTTAGAAATGATGCCAAGACCGTGCAGAAATTTTTACAGCATACACAAACTCCAGCAATAAGTCATGTGTATTTTCAAGCGATGGGTCATTGCATCAAGAACAGGAATTTCAAAGATTTATTCAAGTTGTATGAAATCTCTTGGGAGAAAAACGTTATCTTTACAGAACAAGAATATCATAATTTAATATACTCATTATACATAGCGGACTGTGTAACGGACGCTTTTAGGGTTTACAAGGATGCAAGATCAAAAGGATTACTTTCAAGCGATCTTTTTATACATAATAAGTTGTTGCGAGCCTTGTTAAAATATGAAAGAACAAAAGATGTGGGATTTATCAAACAAGAGATGGAAGATTTAGGAATAAAGTCGGATCTTGAAACGTATGGGATCTTGATCCAATTGTCCGCGATGCAGCGCGAACCCGAGAAAGCCGAGACGATTTTTCGTGAAATCCATCAATCAGGATTATCATTAGATTATACGATATTTTCTTCCTTGATCAAATGTTTTGCGGATCTAGGGGATTTGGAAAAATCCAAAAAAGCATTAAATTTAATGTACAAATCGGGGTTTAAACCAACGATCAATGATTACAATAATTTAATCAGAGCGGCAGGAAAATTAACGAATTACGAAGTCAAGAAGATTGGCATTCTTATTTTACGTGGTAATCGTAATAAACACAAGCTTACACCGAATATTGATACCTATAATTGCTTTTTAGAATCTTATTTGGCGTCAAATTTTTTATCGGTTGCGAAAAAGATTTGTAAAACCATAATCAAGGATGGATTTGAATTTAATTTAGAAACGTTTCATATATTATTTAGACACTGTTACATAATACAAGGACACAAAGCGGCTTTTGAATTCTTTTATGATCAATTAGAATATAATGAATTAGAACCATCCGTTTACACGTGGAATCTATTGATGGAGAAAGCTATTGAATCCAAGAGTCCAAAGATCATAAGACAAATTTATTCCGAATTATATAAAAGAGGGATTAAATTAAACCGAACTTCATTATATAGTAGATTAATTTCATTTTGGGGATATGAAAAAGAATATCCTGAAGCTGAAGCAGTTCTAGATCATTTGAGAGTCGGAAGAGCAGATGATTATGAGTTGATTAATTCGATCGATGAGCTTGTCAAGATTTATATCATTCATAAACATTATCATAAGGCAGAAAATCTTTGGAAATTGATCCAAATTGAAAGATTAATTCCCAATGAAAATTTATATAATAATTTAATTAAATTATACACATTAATGGAAAATGATGATGAATTACGAAAGGTTTATAAGGTCATTAGTGATCAAGAATAATTAATTAACTGGAATCTTAATATCATTGTGAGTAAAATACCGTACGTAATTTTATGAAAGGTTAATATAATAATAGCATTTGAATTTTGTCATTTGTGATTAAAATCATGATTTAATTTAATTAATTACATCTAAATGTGATAATGTAACAATTATCTGTAATATTATTTCTTGATATAAAAAATATTATGCAATTTGTTTTAATATAAGCAACTTTTTCCAAGCAGTTTGTGAAATGACCAAATTTGGTGATCCGAAAAAAATTTTACATGTGATTTGAAATTTAGCAGGATTACGTTATTTTCATTGGTAAATAATATATTACCAAATAAACCTTAATCACAGATTTACATTTGTTTCTATTGGGCGTTTGATCCCAAAAGGGAGGAAAGCGTTCAACAATACATTATTTTCCCATTATGTTCCAAGCTGTGAGAACTTTTCTAATAATAAATATAGAAAAAACGAGTTAAAACAAGAGTCGGAAAGAAAAAGATTTTATTAATTACAAATATGGCCAAAGATTTAGACGGATAAGCTGGTTATTTACAATGACGTATTGAAACATGCAAGGTGTTCATTTATAACGTAATGAAATGCAGGAATTTATCCCGAGACAAACTAGAGAAGTATTGTATTAGTTTCTGATGTGCAATGCAGGTATCAAATGTATCAAATTAGGAATTAAAGATGGAGATTTTAGCTTTGACCCAGAAAACTACCGGCCAGCACTATGCTCGATGTGTTGCTATCGACCAAATTTAGTATATAAATGAAAACCTTATGCGAACATGTGTCACCACAACAATATCACGTGGTATTTCCCCAAACTAATCAGTACATTCATGCATCGACCTTTGACAAGAAAAAAAAATTTTTTTTCCCTTACCGGATGATTTTTTTTCTTTTTTCTTTTTTATTCTCTTTCTTTTTTTTCATTGCTAGTGGCATTTAAATTTGTATTTTGTTTATCAAGGCGGAAAAGTGGTAAATATTGCTGCGGTCTTCAAATTTTTTTTTTCTTTTTTTTTTTTTTACAAAATAAAAGATTTGCAGCAACTCATTGTTCATCGAATCCTGTACGACCGTTGTATGTTATTTAACGAAATTATGTTTACGTTTTGGATGACTGTCACAAATGAAAAGGTGTCTAATGATTGGAATGTTTTAAAGAATAATATTACTGCAGGAACAGTTTTTTCTTGATATTACACCAAAATATTTAATCAATTTTATATTAGTAATTTAATATTTATTGCAGATAGTTTAATAATATATTAAATAAAAATTGAATCTCCCTTCTAAATTAAGTGTGATTGATTGTATTGATGCATAAAAAAATTCCCAATGATTCTCACTCAGCTTTGTACCATAAATGCCAACTTTTTTTTTTTTTTTTTTTTTTCCTTTATTTTTTATTTTATCCAATTCACTTGTTTATTTACACTTCTGATGGATTGGATTACTGTAACTTAAAAAAAAAAAAAAAAAAAAAAAATTAGACGAATAAAATAATATATAAAGGCCCATTTTTAAAGTTTTTCCTTTTTTTTTCTAGAAAATTTTTTGCTTCAAAAAATCTTTGAAAAATAAAATTCTCAAGGTCTTTTTTTTTTCTTCTCCCAAGACCTTTTTTATATTTAATAGAAGTAGGGAGATAACTTTTCACATACAAGGATACGAATACTTATCAATAAAAAAAAAAATAAAACAAAAAAAAACAAAATGCGTTTACGTAAATCGTTTAGTCAATCACTTAAAAAATCCGTTCGCAAAGTTAAAGTTGCCTTAAACTTGAAGAAAAACAAAAATGAAGGTAAGGTTCATCCTTCTTCTATTTCATTATGCATCGGGAACCTATATCGGATATAAGGTATAAAAAAAATCCGATTGGACAAACGAATTATTCATTGAGGAAAATAATAGACTTTACTAACAAGTCTACTTTTAATTTCCTTCTAGTAGGTACCATAAATTTAAATGAAAAGAGAGCCGGCAGAGATATTAATGACTCTACATGGTTGGACCCAGTTTCAAACTTACAAGACAATAGAATAGAACATTGGTGGAATTCGGAAGAAGAAAGAATTATGGGTGAATTACGAAGCGTTGGTAAAACTGAACCAATCTCGTTATAATCTTTGCAATTTGAAAATAGTGAACGAGATTATTTTTAAAAAAAAATTGTAGATGTTTCATTCTTTTTTTTTTTTTTTTGTAAAAAAAACACTTTTTCATATTAATTATAATCCGAATAGCCGAACAAAAAAAAACAAACAAACAAAAAGAGTACAAAGAAAAAAAATGGTAAAAGACAAAAAAAAAAAATCTCTCTCTTCCCGTTTTTTATTATTTATCCCCATTCCTGATCCTTTCTCATTTTGAGATTAGAATAAAAATATTCTGAACAACAATCGTAACAAATACGATGTGAGAGATTGGATTAAATTATGACAACGCTCACATCTTCTCAATTGGCAAAAAATTCATTTTCTTGACAATTTAAGACATAACCCTCCAAATTAAGCATGTAAATAGATTCCCGAAATTTTTCATTTCTCCTTTTATGTTTCAATAATAACCATAGCTCAACAGGTTTGACTTTGTAATTTATTTAAAAATGGTCGATTTGTAAAACTATATTGAAATATATTTTTAAATTCCCCTATTTTGTATCTTTTGTAATGTATTTTATTATTTCATCTTAAAAATTCACTTATCTTTTTAATTTTTTTATCAATATTTTTATAGTACATTCATTATATATATTTTTAATTTCTTTTCCTTTTTTTTTTAGCGTTATATCAAAATTCTTATTGCTTTAGAAAACGATAATTTTTTTTTCTTTTTATTAAAAAAAAAAAGCGTAAAGAAAAAAAAAAATAAAATAAATAATTATCAATAGAATGGTAAAATGCAAAACTTCTTGACTCGTTCCTTTTTCAACGTGATCTTTTTTTGTTCCGATACAACTAATTAAACGGTAAAACGAATATCCGAACATTTTTTTTGTGCCACTACCTGAAGATGATTTGCAAATTGTTTTCGTTTCAGATAGTATCACTATCGGTCTCTTGCGGCAATATTCACGTTTTAAGTTATGAAATCCTTTATACGAACGAAAAGTTTACTTTGTTACAAATAATTAAGAGTTGAATCTATGCATTGATCCAGTGTAAAAGCACGTAGATATTCATTTGAAACACTACTTCATCCGCAGAATTTTGGTGGATCGTTGATTCCTTCAACATCGCTTTCAATTAATGATCGGGTATACTTTCACATCTATCATTTTTCATCTGCAAATTAAAGTTCTTCGTATTTCAATCGATTATAACCTAATGGTTACGTCCCATCCCAAAAAGTTTCAATTCTCACTTTACTACTTTCCTATTTTAAATCTTCTAGAAATTGTTCGGAGTTGTTCTTGTAATCAAACAACCGCTTATCACAACCCAAGACTCAAGTTCCTTATATAAATTAGATCGGTTCTCTCGATCTATAAAGAGAGACGATGTCAACTCATATTTCAAAAATCTTTCCCGTGTAACAATTTATTCTTTGTCTTTTAAAAACCAACATAAGAAGATATTTCTTATACCGTTGTTATAAAGAGGTCATTATATCGATAAATTTTTGATAATTCCTTTGTTTTACATCATTAATTATGATAAGGTTTCAAGTTCATTCATATCTGCCTTTAAAAAATGAACGTCCACAGGTGCATGCAGAAAAATTCTGGTCACCTGGAAATCATCCATAAAAAAAACAAATATACAAAAGACGCGGCAAAATAAAAAAAAAAAATCCTGCAACATCTCATGTCTCGAGGCAATGCAGGCTTTGGCACGTTTTCCGGACGCATCCAGATGACCTGGGCATTTCTGTATGCACCTGTACGTTTTTCTGGACGTTCTTTTTTTTGACTCATGAAAGTATTTTTATTATTGTAGTACAAAGATTTAAAATGATTTTTATGAAGATAACAGAGAATTATAAAAACAATTTTTTATTATCAAGTGAGAATTTACATATCATCAGAAAAATAAAAATTTCACGTCGATCATAATGGTCTTTATGTCGAATAAAATTTTCAGAAATTTTTTTTTTTTTTGAATTCCTGTTACATTCTGGATGTAGGAAAAAAAGTAAAGCACATTAATTTAAAACCTGAATTAATACATCTAGAAATGGTTTGATGAACGTCAAATAATATTATAAATTCAAGCCAAGCAACGCACGATAAACTCTGCAACAAAGATATGTATTGTGGGGATGATTACAACGAACACAAGGTACTGCGTATGCAAGTTTTGTGATCAGTAAGGAATTCGATTGAATTCAAAATAAAACAATAAACAATTGTTAAGATAAAAACTTTATATCTAAATCTCCTGCTAATGCCAAGAAATATATTGCTTTGTTTTCCGTTAAGAATAAAAGATTTAGATGTATTTGCTAGTGAAATGAAAATATCGTCTATTGTGTTGAAATTAGTGCATGATGTGAAAATTTAATTATTTTAACAATGCTCAACGGGTTTGTGTTAGGACAAATTGTTGTTAAAAGGGTTTTATATAGCTTTCTTTCTTGTTAATGATCTGAAAAGCGAATGATAAGATTTATAGGGGTTAAATGTACTAGAAGTGTAGGTGAAACAACCTTTGCATAACTGACTCAAGTGGATGTTTATGATGCAAATTCTATTTTGGTTAGATAAAAATCTCGCAATGGTTTCACATACCTTGTTCTTTTTTTTTTAAAAAAAAAAAAAAAAGAATTGTTTAATATTAAACCCGGTTATATGATAACTAAATTCATTTTTTTTAAAATTTACTATAAAGTAATCTTATTGTATTTATTTTATTAAAAATACTAAAAAAAAATATTATGATTTAATAATATATTTGATTTTATTATGGGAGGTTTGCTAGGAAAATGGGATTCTGAGAATTTGTTAATAAAATTTTGATCTTTATTGTATTTTAATTTTTGACAATATCGATATTAGATTAAAATGCAATAAATATGCAACAATTTTTTTTTTAAATTATTTTACAGAAATTTGTTTACCGAAACTATATTAAACTCTTATTAAAAATTTAGCAAAACTTGGCAAAATGCTAAATGTTGAAATCATCATAATAAATACTGAAACTAAAGAAAAACTTATTATTAAATTTTCATCAAAACTAATCATAGAATTTTAAAGAGGTTAGGCAAGTAACTTTATAAAACAATATTATTTTAGTTTGTTATTAAGTAGTATAAGATTAATTTATTTGATTAATCCCTATTTGCTAACTAATATGAACAGATTTTGAGATAATTGAATTTGAATATCAACAAGAAAAATAAATCATAAATTTGCTAATCAAGTTTAAAATTTTTCTTTTAGATAAAAAATTATTACAAATATTATTTGATACAAAAGATTAAAAAAAAAGGTAGAAGTCGCAGAATTTTTGTGTATTACCAATAATTGTAATATAATAGTAGACAAAAAAAACCATTGATTTAGATATTAATAAAAAAAAATATATAAAAGGTTTATATATTCAATTGTTTTTGAAGATATTTATTATTTACTTTATAACTTTTAGCATTTAGTAATTTGTTTTGTATTATTTTTAAATATATCATTTGATTTGTTTTTTTAAAAATATTTTTTTAGTTTTCTCTTTTTTTTTCAAAACTTTAATAATTGACAGCACTTTTTTTTCACTATTTTTTTAAAGTCTCTATCCAGTAAATCATCTAAATAAAAGCAATAGCTATCTATAGCTATCAGATCAAAATTATTAATTATATATCATAAAACAGTAATATGATAAGTTTGATCTAAATTCTCAATTTTCTAGCTAATTTTTTTACTAGCAAACATCTTTATAAGTTATTGCATTTGTTATTTTACTTGAGTTCATATATATAAATAAGTGAATTTTCAGCAATTCTATATTACAAAAAAAAAAAAAGTATTAAAAAATATATTTAAATTAGAATTTCAAGTTAATTAAATTTATAAAAATAATTATATAATAGATTAAACATGGAAAAAAAAATATTATTATTTTATTTGTAACATAAATTAAAATATAAAGTATTATAATAAATATATTTAAATAAAATAAAATTTAAGCTTTTTTTTGTATATATAGGATTAAAAAAGAAAAATTTGTATTTTTTTAAAGTTATACAAAGTATTTAGCTGTTATGCATATTAAATTTATATTTGTAATACATTATTATTAATCAAAAATATTTTTTCATTATGAGTTGCATTAGTAATTCAGAACAGAAAAATAATTATTACAATTTCATTTATAATTAAATTATTTATTTTTTTTATAGAAATAAATGAAAAGAGTATTCTTTTTAAATTACTTTTTAGAAAATTTTTAAGGTTGTTTTCCAGTTGATATCATGCATATATTTTTCAAAAATGCTGCATTACATATTATTAATATTAAATATGAAGCTGTAATTAATATTAAAATTTTTAACTAGTTACAACTATTTATGAATTTTTATATTAAAATAAATTTTACAAGAATTTTTAACCAGTTACAACTCATATTGTAACTTACCAAGTTGTAACTTTTTAATTATAGTACCATCTTTAGTTAACATAGAAATTTCACTTCCTTCTTTATATAATAACAATTTACTTTCATTTTGTTAATCAAATCTAAATCTTCTATTTCTTTTGTTAAAGACTTAATTGACATTATTCATGATGTAAGATAGATAACTTTTGCAGAGTTTCTGATCTTAGAGAATCCATATCTTATAAGTATTCCAAAAAGCTTGACTTTTTGAACTGATAATGCACATCTTTATTTTATTTACAATTTCTTTACAAAATAATAGAAAAATTATGATTAATGAACTAAAATGCATAGTATAGTTTAAGATATCACATTAAATTCTAGATAAAGGATATGAAGAAAAAAAGTTTATATTTAATATTAATTCCTTTATTAAATTTTAATTTGTTATTAAACATTAGAGCTTTAATATTTTAGGATTATTACAGTCTTCATTTTTACATTATTAAAGAATTATCTTATTTAAAATAATTTGACAAATTTTCGTAAGATGTTTGGTTGATTATTTTGTAAATATTTGGTTGACGTTG